TAATAATAACAAATTTATAATATATATTGCTTCCTTTTTAATTGAAAATCATAATTAAATACATTTGAACTTATCGCACTTATTGAGAAGTTTGGAACATTTACTTAAATAACTGCAAAAATCTCTAATCTCCGTATAACGAAATTTTCTCTATAACGAATTTTTCAATTGGAACCAAGCGATTTCGTTATAGGGAGACTCCACTGTATATGTTTTAAATACATGCTTTATAATTGATAATATTAATTTTGCTTATTAGTTGTCCTCTTGCATAAGCAACATCTCTAATTTCATGTTTCTTGTAAGTAATGAGTTTTAGTTTTTGTATGCAAAGTAGCATTTTCCTAGTTCATTAGCATTTCCGAAACCTTTTTTAGTATTCCAGATGTTTACTTATTATACAATGTTTCTTACAATGAATTCCACCTGCATACGCACCAAAAGAGAAAGAAGGTCACTCTTGAGAGCTCTAGGAACGGAGGTGTAATGTTAAGATGGTGAAGAAAAAAATAGTTCAAGGACTAAATTAACGAACAAGTCTTAAATCTTCAGTTTTAGAATTAGATTCTGAAAAACACAACAAAATTTTATTTCCTCTTTTAGAGTTTATATTGAACAGCTTTTTTTTTTACAAAAATTCAATTTTATTTGAATAAAAAACATTATGATTAAATCATTTACAGCTGTAGTTTTCAATCACTATTTGGGATCCAACTTCTCGTATTAATTTTTATTTTTCCTCCATTCATTATACTTATAGAATTTTGCCCTCTAGTAATTTTTCCGCTTGCCCCTTGCAAATGATCTCAAAACGGCGTTTTTACTTTCTCGTATACGAAGTATACAAAGAGGAAGTATTGTAATCGTCAAAATATTTGAACTCGAGATTTTGACGAATCTCCACGTTTTAGACCTCCCTGAGTCCGAAAAACACAATTTTGGAATTACGTCTGTCTGTGAACACGATAACTCGAAAGCTATTAGAGCTACGGGGATAAAATTTGGTATGTGGTGTTTAAGCATAATTTATAGGTTTCTGTCAAATTTTGGACAAAATCCGTGAACGGGAAGTCTGTCTATCTGTATGTCCGCGGTCATGTGAACACTATAACTCAAAAACTTGAATAGCTAGATGGATAAAATTTCGTACACGATTTTATCGTCATGAATGTAGGTCCGTATAAGATTTTGGGCCAAATCCGTCAACGGGTTGACTGTCTGTCGGTCTGTATAATCGCACACTTGCATCTCATAAGCCCTTTGATTTAGATAAATAAAACTTGATATCGCGGATGCTAACATTAATTATAGATCTGTGCCCAATTTTCATCTCAATCGGTTGAGAAACAGGTGTTCAAATTGCATATTTAGTTCAAAATGCACATTACGACTGTGTGTTGGCGAGCATTTCGCTTATATTATTTAAGTGAGTATGGTTGGCGTTTGACGTTGGCGGAAATTGAAGCGAGCCGCAAAAACGCGCTTCGGAAATTATGGCAATCCCCAAAACGAAACTTCTTTTTGATATTCTCCAGATGGACTCCTGTGATTAACCAGAGGTGTAGTGAAATGTTGTGCGATATCTATAGTAAGATTTCGTACTCAAAAACGTTAATTAAAGTTGTGGTACCTCAGCGCGCTTAAAAATTGCGAACATGCGCAATATTTTTGCAAAATATTAAGTTTTTTGGAATTCATAAATTTTATATGTTTCAATGTAAATCACCATTCATAAATTTTTTTCAAAACAACCAGGTCTTGGGTAAATACCCCAAAAATATTTACCTACCAACTGGGTGTTTACCCACCCCACATTATTGGTCGTATGCGAGAAAGTTTCGGGGAGGTCACTCCCGCTGGTTTCATGAGTTTCACTAAATTTTGAGGGGTTTTTTTCTCCTCCTGTCTTGGCGATCTTAAAATGCGATCGTCATATTTTGAAGGTCATTGAGTTATAGGGGAAAAATCAATAAAAGCATTTGAAATCTTCTGACACTGAAGTTACTCGCGTAAACAGATTGCCTAGAAATGATTTGACGGAGAGAAATATAGGGAGCATATATAAAAAAATTGAATCTTTTTTTTAAAAAAATGGCCGGTAGCAATTTTACAAAGGCGTAGCTCCTGATTCATTTCTAAATTGGAACTGACGTGGTTGGTTTAATAATAAACATGTGCTCATTGTTATTTTTTTGGAAAAGCGTTCACCGAACACTTTTTTTCCGGATCGTGATATCTATCGTGTATAGAATTTTTAATGCGTGAAAAATGTAATTTCCTTCCCTTATTTCCGATTCAATGCGCGTACTTGATATAGTAACAAATTCAAAAGCCCGGATATTGCTTGGAAATGTAAACAAATTCACTTAAAAGGTTGATTCAAAGAATATATTGCTACGAGGAGGAAAAAAAGAGTAGATTCCATTTTATAAAAGCTGTCTTTATAACTACAAAATGAATTTTCGAAGCCGTAGAATTTAGATGTTTATGCACCCGAAGAATACGTCTTGTACTTATAGAGTGTACTTATAGCATATGGATTAAATCTAACAGTGTTTTATAAATCCCTTCAATTATCTTTTACTAGCCGCCTTCGGTTTGTTCGCCGGGAATATAATTTCAATTGAGTCTTCAGTAATTTTATATTCATGTTTCCCTTAATAATGTAAGAATCTCGTAGTAGATATTTAACTCTTTTTCTTTTAGTGGCCTTGCACCTGTTCTGTTCATTGTTTAAATAAATTTCTCTAATGGAGTCAAATAACTGACCATGCCATGTAACATCTAATTGCAAGTTGCCAGCGCCATCTTCACTTTCTTATTCCTCTTGCAAAATATGCACTTGATTTTAACATCAAAATGGCGTAACACATTTTTTGGCCGGAGGCATGTTTGCTGAATTAAAACATGCTGAAAAAAGAATGAAAATGTAGCAGCCATAATCATTCAACTTACTGGATATATTTCTACATATACCTAATATCTCAGAGAACTTGGTTTAGATTCCACAAAACTTTTTATGAAATAAAATATAAAAACAAAATGTGTTATGATATTACCTTAACTTTCAACAATGAAAGAGAAACACGCAATTAAATATTTGTTTAAACAATGAAAACGGTTTGAAGTGCGTAGCAACAATGTATTGTTGTAAATTATACCAAAAATATTTTTTAAATGTTTTTAAAATTTGAGAAAACGTACTGCAACTTAATGGATATCATTGGAAAGGAAATGCTTTGCACTTTCAGATGATGTAAAAATAATTTTTGTGTTGTAATATTTTCGAAAGTTATTAAGGAAAAAAGCCGAAATTTCGCTTAATTTTTAATTAATTAAAATTCTTATTAAAATTTCCAAAAAAATGGCTCCGAGGTGCACATTTCCAACCTCCAAAGAATGTTTGTGCCGAATTTCGTAGAACTATTTTCGTCTGTATGCCCTGTAGTGCACCAACACACACACAGACAGACACACACACATTCTTCTTTATTAGTAGTCAAGATTAAGATTTAAATAATAATGAATGAATTAAATTAAAAAGAAACTGCTTTTCTGACTCTCCATTTAGAATACTCTGTTATATGATAATTTTTCACAAATTCGTGCAATTTTTTTCCCAAACTGTCATGTTATAAAATGGTGTTTTGCAACATGACAGTTTAGGAAAGGAAACGACACAATTTCGAATGGAGGAAATTACAATACATGAACATTCATCAATTGAAAAGAAAGCTATTATTCTAGAGTTAACGCTGGTCTTAGGCTGACTTGAGACTGATAATTTTCTTCCGAAATAATTAAATAAGTAATGTTCTGTTTGAACAGAATTTCCGAAGAATCATTCACATATGTTATCATTTTCTGAAAATAGTTTCGACAACAACAAAATTTACAAGTGCATAAACGTGTTTATAAAACTATTACCACTATTTTAATACCAACATATTTTTATATAAACTTTTATTTTCCACTTTCTTAGCATGCAGTCAAACCAAACCTATGTTTCTTTTATTTAAAGCTTGGGTTTTTATATCCGAGCTGGTATTGGTAAACATAAATTACTGTTGTCATTTGATATGGATGAAGGGACCTTATATACTGTTTGGTTAGTATATGAAAATAACTCTTGAAAGGGAAAACAAAGTGAGTTTATTCACATATTTTAGTCGCAGAAAATGTATGGAATAATGTCAATTTGTTTGAATACAGGACTATCGAAGTGTGTTGCGCTATGTGGCCAAGTTTTAACGTTTCTCAATGTTTTATTTCAATCGTAACTAGAAGTTTCCATAAAGGTTTCCTTGCTTTCGTTCTGTATATTTAATTTAGCTTAGTTATATTACCTTCCCCTTCTGAAGCGACACGAAGGCTATTTTTGACACTGACCTCTTAATTTCGAACCGGAATCTAATGACGAGGACCACACCTCAGCTGGCACCCCTCCCCCCTCTCTAAACATCCGCACCACACTAGCGGGAGGACGTTTGGCCCCCTACGTAGGATTTAAAGTTCAGCAGGCTCAAATACGCCGAGACCTTACCACCAAACTCCTGCAGCCTCTTAAATTCTGTAGGATATGTAGCAGTACGAGGATAGAACTGGGTACCTTTGGATCCCGAACCGAACATCCTAACCACTAGACAAAAGGAATTCCCAATGTCCGGAAGCGGATGTTGGATTATAATCATCACAGTAATATGGTAGCAGTATACGGTGCACTACAGGAGCAACCCCCAGCTTGTTTTGATATTATTTGAATATCAAGGAAGCAATAATTGTGCTGCGTGCATATGCGCAGATTGTAACCTCCCATTTATGCTTGTGCGCAGGCACGTGCAGGCTTTGTGCTGTGAAGTGCGTCACAGACTTTGAATTTGGGAGAACTTGGTGTAGACGTTGAGGTCCTGCCATTTGTTGGATGTAGATGGAATTTTTGGTGCTTCCATCTAGTAGTAGGACTGAAAGCAGATGTTGCGTGTTCTTCCGGGTCACCACTGTGGCATTACGAGAATAGAACTGGGGACCTTTGGGTTCCGAACCGAAGATCCTAACCACTAGACAGAAGGAATTCCCAATGTTCGGAGGCGGATATTGGATTATAAACATCACAATAAGATGGTAGGAGTACGGTGCACTACAAATATATCTTATTTTAAAATTAATACACTACTAGGTATTAATTCTTACAAAGCAATAAGTAATTCGATTCGCAGTACTTAGTTTGCAATCCCTGAAACATTTTTTTAAAGTATTAATTTAATAAAGGAATCTTCAACTTTTATATTTTATCCACTAAAGGAATCAACTTTGTATTCACCAAGTATCATCAATCAAATTATCATCTTTAGATGTGTATCTTCATGACTTAACAGGCTAAAAAAAGAATGCACGTAGCTCACTGATCAAAAAGCTTGTTGTTTACTTAAACAGATATTAGTTGTTTTGATTCTGATAAAATGGTCGGCTTGAAAACAGTTCAGCGTATTTCATCTCCTGTTCGTTAACCTCCGTGTCATAAGTATTATCTAAGAAACCGCTTCCTGCTTCTAAGGTTCAGCTGTTGTTTAGAAAAACATTACGTGAACATTTTCTTGGGAATTGAAACATTGAAGATAATCGAAAAAGAATACTGATCACAATTACGAAGACTGGTTATTTAGCTGCATATAAGTAAAGTTACTTCGAAATGTCAGCAATTGATTGATTTGTATAGCTAAAAGATAATGAAATTATTTATCTTAGTCATCGCTTTTGTTATTAATCCCTTTAAAAGATGAAAGCAGATTCTGAAACGGAATTAAAAATTTTTTAAAAATCTTTATTTTCGTTTTCCAAGAAATTCCATTCAATATTCCATAATTACCGATATTTATCTTTTCACTGTCCACAAATTAATTATTTTTTCCTCGGCAGATTATTCATATTCGCCATTACTGAATTCCAAAACTTGAAGGATAAATTTGTCCTTCAGCATTCTGTACTTGTTAAAATCGTTCATCATAATTCAATTTACGGAATAAATTTTTATAATATGTTTTTCTTTAATTTAATGTTGTGTCTATGCAAATGTATGATTTTGGTGCCACATCAATTTATTATTATTAGTGGGCTTTCTGTTTGTCCTTTATTCAAATAAACAGAAATATTACATTTGTTTGGGAGTCAATCCAAAACTTAAAAAACTTACTTACTTCTGTAAGAGTTGTTATACTTGTTGGTGCACAAGTGAGTTTTTCTTCTCAGCAGAATGCAAAAAAATGCCTATTAGGTTTAGCATTAGTATCTCTTAAAATGTTGATTAGGGCTGATAGAGAATCGTGACGTTAATTTTGTTTAAGCGCCTTTCATAAGAGGTAACAAAGTGTAATAGAAATTTAAATGAGTCTCCGTTCGCTTGAAATAAAATTAAATTTTTACTCTCGTTTCTTACAATACAAATACCTTTAAAAAAAGCGTTGAAAATGAATCGGAGAATAAGTTAAAAAAGTTAATTATTAAATAATTATTATAAAAATGAAAAAGTGGTGGGTAAAATATATAATGTTTAAAAAGTACAAGGGAAAAAAATTTCTTCAATGAAAAAGAAATGAAATACGGTGTTAAACCGTGTCTAACCACATAAAGAAAAAAACACCCGGTCGTTCCAGCCAACATTCGATTGTTCAAAAAGGAAATACTTTAATTTAATTCTACTGAGAATCTTTTCAGTGAAGCATGTTAGTCCAAGCATAAAACAGCCATTGTCCTAAGCTCGTTTTTCCCCCACCCATTTTAATCGGAAAAATTACACACGTCATTCACGTAGGCTCCAAAGTGCACTACCGTAGCTCTCCGATCCCCCTATTCCTCCCCCCACACTCGGTGGATTTCCGATTTTCTAACGTCGTCGCGAGGTCCCAATCTAGGCAAACCCTTTGATGTGCCGCTAGCCTCGTATCGGGGTCTCAAATTGGAATCGGCGCATGAAGTCTTGGATTTTGAGTTGGTTGGAATTCCAACACTCAAAATCATTTGTTCCAAATTTCGTAGGGTTTTGACCTTGACGATTGCTTTTTTCTTCCGTGTTCCAAAAATTCCATTTTGGAAGAGATGTGAATGGTCTGCTTAAAAATGGCCACTGCGTCGTCATCACCAGAGATTTCAAAATTTGAATTTTTAATTAATAATGTAATTTCATCCGTTAGTATTTAAATGTATACCAAATTTTTAAAAATGCGTTTCGAACAGTCCCCTAGAGCCTAGAAGATTTTTCTTCTTGAAATATATTTAATTATTATTATTATTTGAGGTGATATGGACAGAAAACCGGATAGTAAAGCTCTCGCACTAGACAAGAAACCCAAGAGAAGAAAAAAGAAGTACATCTTTAGACTTGCTTAGACGTAAGACTTGCTAAGATGAAAAACCAAAGCTACAGTACAGAAAAGAATGTATTTAATAAACCTTATCAACGCACACAAAGATTCTTATAAAATTGCTGTTAAAAAATCTTGGCTCTTTTTTTTTCATACAGTTTGATTCCCTTCATCAAACCATTCAATATCTTGCATCTTCTCCAATAAAGTAAAGATATGTTAAGTTTCCGCCAAGATTAAAAGTTTTAGAAATACCATCGAAAAATATAAAAACGTAAATGTTGCCACAAAAAGATCTCAGAATGATTCGACTTGGTTGCCTATGAAAGTCGAAGCTAAATTATTTAAAGAAAAGAAATTCCGAACAAATCAACAAAACCTTTTTATCTCATTCTCTATAAATAAAAATTATTTTTTGAATACTTTTACTTTCAAAAGGCATTTTTTTTTAATTCCAGGTTGTTCGATTTCCCCCTTCTTTTACTTTAAAAGATGGCAACATAAAATAAAGACGGCAAAGAATTTCAGACAATGCAAGCTCTGCTGTAATATACATAATAATATTCCTCGAAAGTCTATTTAAACAAAAAAAAACAGAAAAGGAGATATAAAAGGAAAAATAAGTGTCTACACGCTCTTCTTCGCCACATAATGAGCTATTTTGTTCCAAAAAAGCCTCAAGTTCAAGAGTCACTTCCTACACTTATATGCATAAAAATAAAACCTAACGTGTCCAAAATGAAGAGGCTTTCTCTCTCTGTGGCCATCCAAAAAGAAAGCGATTTAATTCATCTTGATGGTACTTGGCGAAGGTGGTTTGGCCATTCTCATTCCATTAGTCACAGCCGCCTGTCACTGCTTATTCACGCTGCCCATTATGCTTCGATTGCTATGCATGCATGAGCAATGAGAATGGCAGTCTGCATCATCCACGCATGGGCAGTTTCACGGACGTCTTTGGACTTTCGCACTCTGCAATTAAAGAGGTACCCGTTACCGATTATATCACGTGTGGTGCGTTAATTTATGTGATTTGTGCTTGACTCGCTGAATATTCAGAGATTCTATTCTTCTGTCGAACGAATGAAAAGGAATTGTTGAAGTTTTACTGTGATTACAATGTAGACGTCACGATTCCCTTTTGGAATTTTTACATTTCTTCTTCTTGTTTGTTTTCTGCTCATTCTTTTAAGAAATTTACAAGTTTTTTGAACCGAAAGCAGGTGTGTTACCTTTTAGTGATTTAGCAACTCATGAGTAAGGACTCGGCCTTTTTATGTCTCGTTTACTCACTTTGATGGTGAAAACATGCACCTTACCTTTCTTATTATTATTACCGTATTATTTGTTTAATTAATACAAAAATACTGTTGTATTAATTAAACAAATATCGTCATAGAATATTGTTACACAAAATCGTCCGGTGTGTGTACGGTGAAAAGAGTCCAACAAGCAGGTTAATGGAGAATGATCCTGCTTGTAAAAAGACATAAAGACTGCTGCAATATAAAAAGACATAACATAAAATCTGCATACATTGAAATTAAAGAAACAGGCGCAATATCTGTCATCAGCTAAAGAGAGAAAATAATGCAATATTTGATACTGTAAATAAGCTTTATAAGCAGCCCTTCAAGAATGTAAGAATTTGGACGTTATCCTTCTTCAAATTTTGCAATTTTGCTATTCAAATTATAAGCAACTAGCTGTTCACGCGCAGAGCATCTGCGTTAGATTATACGTATACCATGAATTTCCTGACGCTCTTAGAGCCTAACTGGCGATTCAGCGCTCCCAGAAAATTCCTCAAGACAAAAGATGGCGCCAAGTGATGTGAATATAATAGAAAAGTAGCCAATGTACAATGTTCACAATAATATGTTTCATGATGAATTTGTGAACTGAAACGATTTTATCTTCACTGACTTAAACTATTTTGGCATTGATCTGAACGTCCTCTGCCTCACCTAAGCCCATCTGCTTCGTTTCTAATAGATCTCTTTTGAATAATTTCATCCAAAATTTCATTACATTGTAAGAAATATTGGGAATTCTTCATCTGAAACTCATTTTTCTTTCAAGAAAAAGTTACTTTACACCAGAACGAATATAAAAGCAAGTTATGACTATTAACAGTTAAAATTGATAAAATTAACGAAAATTAAATTTAATTTAACTATTAATTTTGACTAATGGTCTTTCCTTTATTCAGTAAATGTCTGTCCTACTTCAGAGCTACAATGGCGTGTGGCCTCTGAGGAGAATCGCCATTTTGGTTCTTTTACAATTTTCTTCCATTTTGCTTTCATTCTAATTGTATTTTTCGTTCTATTTTGCTTTTTTTGTGTTTTATTTTAAGATTTTATTAATGCCTATTTTTTATAATTTTTAACTTATTTTTCGAAGTTCTAATTTTGTTTTATGACTATTAAGTTATACCTAGCATGGCGGAGGCTACCGGTTTTGTTTTGTAAACAAACCGATTGTTGCCATCGGCAAAAGAGAAATTAACCTCTTTTCTGTATCATGTACCTTAGCGTTTTATATATAGGGAGATTAATATCCCTTCATAAATTGCCACATATTCCAAAGAGTGAATACTACTTTGAAACCCTTTTCATTATCTCCCCCTTCCTCGAGATCAACTCACAAAGATGTCGCTATCCACATCTTTGAGGGTTGTACACTCAACTATGGCCTGTTAAATCGATTTGGGT